GTCAACCATTTCTGGCCGGCAACTTTCAGCATCATTAAGCCGCTGCGCCACCGCGTCCCCCATTTGTGGAGTACTGTATTTCAATCTCTGCAAATGTTGTGTTGTTTTCTCTCCTCCAGGTGGGGGGAGAGTTTTCCAGCGTTGCTCTGGAGCAAATGAAGACGTTTGGGAGAATTGCTGTGTGTGGTGCTATCGCCTTGTATAATGACACCGTGCCCCAGAAAGGTGCAAATCCATTTCTTTTTCTTTCTGCATGCTGTTTGCTAGCTTCTGAAAGGAGGCTAAATAAAGAAAGCATTCTATCTCAGGGGAGAAGTGAGTAGAACATGTGCTGTACCTTGTATCTTTTCCTTTCAGTCTGCCTTCATCCTTCTATCCGTTTTTATGAAGATGGGGGGGAGGAAAGCTCATTTTAGGTTTTTGAGCATGATGAGCAAAATTTGGTATGATTCACCAGCCAAACGGAACTTTGATCAGCCTTGTTGGTTTTTTAAATCTGAACACCATCCAACAGCCCTGGAAAAAGTAGCTTTATTTGGCAGCAGGTGAGGAATTTATGGACCCCTTGATCTCCTTGCCAGAGAGGGAGATTTTAATAGTTTAATTTTAATCCTTTTACTGATTACTTTTATAATGAAATAGCACGTGTTTTGCTATGAAACTTGTTTAGGCTGCACTCTGAAAACTACTCGGAAAAAGTGCGTTGGGCCTTACATGGCGACAGAGCCTCTTGGCTACTCGTTAATGCCTGTGCACCTTTTTTCAGACTTTTGAAGGAAAAAAGATGCTGCTGCTTTAAGAATCATATTAAAGATGTACTGTTTTAATGATTCCATTCATTAAAGCAGCAGCGTCTTTTAAAAGCTCATGTGCAAAACTGAAAAAAGATGTCTATGCTTTAAGGACTAACGCTGCTGCTGAATCGTTTTTGAAGGCAGCGTCTTTTAAAAGCTCATGTGCAAAACTGAAAAAAGATGTCTATGCTTTAAGGACTAACGCTGCTGCTGAATCGTTTTTGAAGGCAGCGTCTTTTAAAAGCTCATGTGCAAAACTGAAAAAAGATGTCTATGCTTTAAGGACTAACGCTGCTGCTGAATCGTTTTTGAAGAGAGCCAACCCTAAAAGAACATTTATAATAGGAAACCTAGTAATTAATCCCCCTGGCCTGGGAGCAAAAGCTAACATTATACGGCTATTCATCAACAGCTCATTGCGCTTTAAAAAAAGTAGAAGCTGTAAGAATATTTTTTTTCATGTTACTGTGGTTTTTAGAATAAGCTGCCCATATGTGGACAATTTGCCTTTGCAATTAGAATACGTTTGAGTAGTAATGTCTATGTTTCCGTCCCCAAATCTTTCTTCCCCTTTTCTGAAAAATGTCTTCTCCTGCAAAGAATGTTCCTGGTCATACACACCCCACCTCCAATTTGCAGAGGCTTTCAAATTTGCTTTGGCTGTGTCTCTGGGCATACTTTCATTTTTCTCTGCTGTTGTTGTTCATGTTTTTATGATATCCAAAAATCCCACCCCACTCTGCTGTCTCCCTGTTGTTTCTGCTACCTTCTTGGAAACAAAACCTTCTGGCTGATATTCCCTGATATGTTTGGGATGTGAAGTACAGCTAAGGAAGCTATTGATTGGAAAGCAGGATTTCCACACACACTTCTTGGCCACCAGATAACTAAGCACACAAACCATGGACATTTCCACTGAAAATGTCACCAAAGTGTTCTCCTTCACTTTCTAACAGTTCATTCGCATTTTCTTTTCCATCACATTAGGTATGCTAACATTCTGCATCAGAAACAAAAACCCTTTACTTAAAAACAGAATTCATTTGGCGTAACCTGACTGTGACTGTAGGGCAACAACATCTGTGATTTTGCGTGGTTGAAGTTGAATGAGTGGTGCAAATAGCTGCACCCCCACTAGAGGCCAGTCGTGACTTGGCTATGGTGGGTTGAACAACCAGAGCCACACAGCCCTCTGAGCCAAAACCAAACCACCCATTGTATGCGGCAAGTTCTGAGAACCAGGCTGTGAGTTGGATAAAAACCAAAGTATTTAAGCAGCCTGCTCTGAAATCTTACGATGTTGTGGAGAAATAATAGAAATGATTATTAGGAAACCCTAAATAGTAGTATTTTAAATGATCACAATTCCCTTGTTTCAATTGTGACTTGTGGTTCTTACATAGACAGGTCCATAGCATTTTTTTACCAACAAAACTGAAAGGGTTTGCCATTGTTTTCTTCCTGGAGGTTTTTTCAACTTTGCATTCCAACCGACCATCCTGGGATTTCTGGTGGTCTCCTATTCCTGTTTTAACTCAAACTGACCCTGCTTATCTCCCAATCCCTCCTGAGGCCGAAGTAGGATGCTCTTCATGAAAGATCTGTGATACCTGTCTAAAACAGAAAGTCCTGCCACAAAAGTTCTGTAGTGTTCAGTCGATCATAAGGCCAGTTCTCTTGAACTTTCCAACAACTGAGGAGATGCAAATAGTCAGCTACCATTTCAAGTGATGACTCCTTTAATTTTGATTTTGGGCCAGACTATAGCCGGGAAAGTGAAATTTCACAATAATCTAGTTTAGATATTGTGCTACTCCCTCATTTTAATCATACAGTAATTTGTTGTAGAAGCTACAATAAGCCAGAAAGAGATTTATTTGATTTTAGCTTAGCAGTTGTGTGAATCCAATCACAGCCAGTTGGGAAGGACCATCTTTGAAGACCTGGTAACTCCAACCAAAATTTAGGTTTTTAAGCAGCAGAACCACCACCAGCAGCAGGAGAAGAATATAGTATTGTTCTGAGCTATTTTTAATAACAGCTGAAGTCTTACACCACTATTTGAAAACCATTTAAAGAAACTTGGTCGCAGGTGGAATGACTAGATCAGCCTTCCCCAGCCAGGGCACAAAACTGAAATGAATGTTTTATAATTTTAGAAGGAAAGAGATACTGTGTTATTTCATTTGCACTAAAGTGCTGATGCTTCACTCCTATATATGCTTCCTTGGAAGCATATATCACTAAAACCAACACTGGGTGCTTAAGCGGTATACCTAGAGCAGTGTTGTCCAAACTTGGCCACTTTAAGATGAGTGGACTTTGACTCCCAGAATTCCCTGCTGGCTGGGGAATTCTGGGAGTCA